GGTTCACGTCAATGGTTGATAATATTGGGCGCCAGTGCCATATCAAAAAAACATCCGTTCGTCCAAGTATGATCCGATAGTGGCGAAAGTCGAACCGCTGGAAAGCAACCTCGAGTACGCTAACATATGTCTCTCCGATGAACGTGGGAAAATGGTATCACTTAGTCATCTTGCCCTTTGCAGAACGACCAACTTCTGCACCATCCATCTCACTCTTACTGACTCTGCCTCGATAATGACATCCCATTCACGTCTGATTTGTAAACAACTGTCTCTGACCCAGTAGAGTATCCTGGTTAACCAGAAACGAACGTTGAAAACCTTCTCTTGCAACAACAAGGAGTGAGATCTCATTGCCTTCCAAACCGTGACGCGTAACAACGCACTCTCTGGTAACCGGCACCAACATTTTCTATTTCTCATCCACGGAAACACAAAATACTGGTCTTTGTTTTCTAAGTGACGGTGGATGTTATATATATGTTACTGTGCTTCTGCTTCATAATTCGTCCCTATTTCGTTGTATAATCGAACACTTCTCGCTTCTTGTTCCGATTGGTATGCCTCGTTTTTCGTCGAACAAAGCCTATCAATCGGGCGCTGTCCTCTGAGCTCCCATTCTGTTAACCGTTTATACGTTACAAAAACTACATCTACTGCTCAAATTGACGAAACAACCTATCTACGGAGGTTATCTCGAAGCTGAAACTTGTATGACCTGAGCTTACTACAGAAAAATCGTCCACAATAGAACACGCTCACCATCCGTCCAAAAGGCTATTGTGTTCGGAAAACGCTGACAGGTCGTGGTCAGAACTTCATCATCGAAGGATCTGAACCACGACGCAGGGTATCGGTACTTGCAACCGCCCTATTCGGCAGCCCTCATTGGCTGCCGCTTTCTTACACAAGTCTTGCACAATGATGTGTGAAAAGTTGAACGATGGAGAGCATATTATTATTATTATCATCATTATTATTATTATCAAGGAGCAAACAATAGTACAGTGCTTTCAAGATACTCGGTGTCCAGTCAACCTTTTTTACTTCATGATGAATCATTTTAGGACCAAGTCAAATTCTCTACTACTCCAGTCGATGGAACAGCCAAGTTTCGAATGTTGTTTCCAACCTTAAGCCTCTTTTGTCACTGTTTCTACGAAGTCGTACACCATAGACACTGATCACGGTGCCGTCGACTGGTTGTATCCCTTGAAAAGACAGTTAGAGAACGGCTTCATATCATTCGGTGAAGTTGGAAAACCATTCTGACTCATCCGGGCAACTTGGTTAGGTTTGACGCCTGCATTTGTTCACTCCAGGTTCGAGTCTCAGTGGCGGCTCAGTAGACGGGCACTGTCGGTTGCTCCTAACAACGGTGAAACCATTTCACGGTGCTTCCGTGATCATCAGTGCATGGTCAACTCTTCTTACCTCAATACGAACCACTTGTTGATCAAACCAAACGATACGCCACCCGAATTGTCCAATTAGCCAAGTTACGAATGTCGGTTACAACCTAGAGGCCTCGACGGGGAAGTCCTCCACCACAAAGACGTTCAATTTGCGGTTACCATTGAAAAATTTACCCGGCTGTGGTCAAACATAAATCATCGAGGAACCTGAGCGGTAGATCTGAATTTTGTAGCCGTTGCTGCTGCGTTGGCACGATGCTCGACTCCCACTCATCCACCACCGACCATTTTCCCATATGGCAGCCTCCGATTGGCTGCGAACCTTTTCCAGAAATATTGCATGATTTCGTATACTAAATACAGGAGTGAAAAGATTATCATTAATACTAAGCATGAAACAACAGTACAGTGCTTCCATCATACTCGATGCTCAGTCAACCTCTCGTACTTCATGACGAATCACTCGCTGACCAATCTATCTACGAGGGTTCTTTCGAATCTCAAGCTTTTGTGACTATCGGATATTCCCACGGGGAATTTGGGTACCGTAGCCGTCCATCAGGGGGGTCAGGGGCGTAAACCATTGTGGTACGTGCTTTCGAATTAGTACGGTGAAAAGGTGCATCCCATAGTATCAAAGACAAATTAGGGATAGCCGGCAAGGACCCTGAAACTTCGAGTGACCTAGAACATAAGGTCCCAATGAGTCAGATTTGGTGGCAAGTCGGACGACGGTGGATTACTGCTTACCACCAAAGTAACCGGCGGTATTGAGATTTGAACCCTACGCACTACGTAGAAATCACACACCCCAAACCTTTCAACCACCATTGTTCGAGTGATAGAATGGTGCTATCTCATTTAGTGAGATAGAGCTAACCATTAAAACTTATCCCAGATAGATTTGTGACCGCATGTTACGCCCAATCAGGCACGAATCCCAGGGTAGGTTTGGATGAAACAATCGTACAGCGCTGCCATGGTTTTCTATGCTTAGATATGCTTCGCTATTACATGATGAATTATTGCGCCTGGAAAATCATTATATATATATATATATATATATATATATATATATATATATAATCAATTAAGATTATGAAATACAGTACACTTGTTAATAGATTTGTGATCCAAACAAGGAAAAATGGAGATGGATTGATACATAAGTACTATCAGACTACACTGCCAGTCGCATGTCGTGGCCTCGTTCTGGGAACCTTCTCCGTATGGACAAGTTCAGAACACAAGCTCGTAGAACGTAGGTGTAACTCACCGAACGAAATGGACCGGCTCACATGTCCGACAGCGGCAGGAGCACGCTGAATTGGTAAAAGCGGAGCAGACGTGTTGTCCCAGGCATTCGGCTCCGATATAAGCAAGACGATTCACGGGTGGCTATTTTCAAATCAACACCTTGCTCACTAATTTCGGTAGCTCAACGAACGTTAAGTCGTAGTGTTGTGGTTCATTGAGGCAATGAGATGGAGCCTTAAATTTCACAAAATAAATTGTGAAATTTCTAAGAAACTCAATATAATCTGATCAGGTTAGTAGAATTATTTTGATCACAAAACTTGTACATATCAAGATGGAAGCAAGTTTAAACGGCTTATTCTCGTTTATTATAGCATCTGAAATTCGAAGCTCGTGACCGAAGAAATGACACGCATCAGTGGATTGCGAAAATTCCAGGGAAGTTCGCATTTGTCCCGCATTAAAGAGAATTGCTGGAGGGTTTGGCGAACTCATTGCACTCTTTAAAATCAGGACGGAGTTCTCCGGTGCGAGATTTGAGCACAATTTGCATATGAACACTGGTAAATTGGAACGAGAATTGCGTCGCACGATGAAGCATCGTTGAATAAGTTTGATAATAGATTGACCGAGCTATTCCGTCTCGATCGGAATATACATATCATTCAACCATATACGCATCTTAGGTTCGCTGTACTTTTCCGACTCGATTACCATAACAGTTGTTGTGGCACTACAGCAGTGTCTAATTCGGAAAAATATTCCTGTAAATTACTGAAAAATTTCAAGAACAAGAATCTCTCTTCAGAACTGACCTCTTTTGGACACATAGTACGCACTGAATGGGAAGGAATCCTCAGAAAATCTGGAGCTCATCCAAGGAAACACCGCGAAGGCCGGAAAGTAGCTCTTCACAAAAAACTAGTCATACTATGCGCCTACCCATTGTAATCAGCAATGTCTCTTGGTAGTCCAAGCGTAAAAATGGCCAGATTCAAGAGGGCCGACCAGCCAGACCAAAGAACAGGAGAATTAACCAAGGAAAACGTGTTCCAGCTTTCGAGTTTGACTACTGGAACAGTAGTCGGCAGCAAAACGTGAAAAGTGGAATAACAGTGCTACATGTTTGGCGCTGGACCCACCCAGTCCAGCTGCAGCATCTTGCCCTTTGAAGGCGCAAAACCCATACCGAACATTGCTACGCAGTCTATCAAGCTGTCTACAAAACTTGCAACTTATTTGGATCTTCATCTGGAGGAATTGTCGTCTGCACATCCAAGACCTAACACCTTTTCACCCGGGAAAAGTTCAATGCCACCATCGTCACCTGACAAAAGCGCGGTCCCTAGGACCATATCAACCGCAAAGTTAAAGAGGAAAGTAGACAGAAGACAACCCTGGCGTACACCACTTCTCGTGGTGAAGTCGGGTGAAAAATCACCGTAAGCCCGAACTCGGCTTCGGCTATTCATTTTAAGGGACTTTACGATGGAAATGGATTTCTTTGGTACGCCCCTCAACGAGAGCAGCGTCGGAGAACTGTGCGGTCTACTGAGTCAAAGGCCGCATTGAGATCAAGAAAAAGAGACCGTGAGCACGCATGTATGCCTATGTCCTAAAGCATGTCGAACAGTGAATATACGATCAATACAACCTCGACCAGGTCTGAATCTTTATTTTATTACATGCTTGTGCACGAGTGCAGTGAAAGGGGTATATACCCCATAGCCACGAAGGCCCACTGCACTATCAGGTATAACCGGCAACCAGACCCCGAGACTTGGGGTAGAGAACCACATAAGGACCTAATAAGTTAGGTGTGGTAACGATCCGGACGACAAAGAAATGCTGTCTACCACTGAAGATACCGGTGGTGGTGGGGATTCGAACCTCGGACCTCTGAGATGGTAAGCAAACGCTCTGAGCCACTCGAGCACCACCGGCAATTCTCGCGCGAGCACTGTTTGCGAGCGTCAGATAAGCGGTGGAGAATAACACTAGTGAGCAGTCTGGATGCGTTGTTAACCAGACCCATTCCCTTGCGGTCTTCACAGGAGGACCTGTCGCGTTCCGTATAAGACGGTGCGACCACCGATTCACACCACCCTTTTTGAACTTGTTCCATTTTCCATAAAAAACCGGGGCGTTTGTCAACAAAGAGGAACAAATAAATCCTAGAAAAACAGACACTATTAAAATAGACAATGAAATAAATCAGTAATAAATGAAAGATAATAAATAGAGACCACATTACACTCCGTTTTTCTTTTTGGGCCGTCGTGTCCCCATCCATTTTGCAAGTTTCGTTCTATCCATTTCTATTTCTCCCTAACGGTAACTGAAAGAAAAAAACGAAATCATATGCACACTCATAGAATGTAGTGTTGGCACGAGGAGCCTGAATTGTATGTAATGGAAAATTCACTTGCATTTTTCACATCGAAAAGTCGGACGCCGCGAGCCGGAATTGAACCGGCGACCCTACGCATACCGGACAGATGCTCTATCAGCTGAGCTATCGCGGTCCGGACAGTCGGGTGTGATTAACGCCAGCGAATAATCGATATTGCGCGAACCACTATTCCAATAATACACAGTATCTGTGTTATAACGGTAAGTCCTCGCTTGATTACTCAGTCAGAGGAAGAAAACAAACCTCTGGACTGGAACAGTGTAATGGTGTTTCTTTGCAGAGCGGTTTTTCAAAGGCCAGGCAGTGGGCTTACAAATCGATAAAAACCATGATTGGATGACGCATGCGAAAGCGACACAAAGGCATGCCAGTCACGTTCGACCTAATAAGCGTGGACGGATATCAGCTGCGGCGTGAATCGGACTGGTTTGCGGTCTCACTACACCTCCCTCCTTTGAGGATGTTCGGTAACCTAAGCCACGGTAGTTTCATAAGTTCGATTCCTGGGGTTGATATTCAGCCGGCGTATTGGAGCCCGAGTACGTTTTGAGTATCTTCGGTCTAACTGTTTAGGTGCCTCCATGGGAGTGACGTCTTTTTCAGGGCTTGTCTTGACATCTCGATGATCCATCAATACATCCATAGGTGTGAAGTCGGAGGGACGTTCCACGGAGTTGTACAGCATATTTCGAGGTCTGAGATGGTTAACATGCCTGGTCCAGATGAAACCGTCCACCCTAACCTTATACGTGACTGTTCTTTCTCGTCTCGCAATCTGTCCGGGAATCCAGTTCTCCAAACCGTTCCGAAAATTTCGCACATAAACTTGATCTCCAGTCTTGAATGCTGACATTAATGGGTGTATGGATTTGCGGTTCGTTAGTATCTCGAGCGACCGGGATCATGGCATCTAGGGGCAGTCTCCTCCGTCGGCCTAGAAATAGGTCAGCTGGAGACTTCTGCTCTGTGGTAGCTGGGTTCAGAGTTGAGCGGTATGTCAGGAGGAAAGCATCAATTGACTGATGTAGTTTTCCCTCCCCTTGTGACTTGATCAGTGCGCACCTAAGCGTGTCAACAAACCGTTCTACCTGGCCATTCGATTGTGGGTGGTACACTGGGGAGCAAACGTAGCGAATGCCTTTTAAAACACAAAACACTGCGAACTGTGTAGTTGTAAATTGTGGGCCATTATCCGAGACGAGAACTTCCGGCACAAAGAACCGAGCAAATATTCTACTCAAGTTTGTGGTTGTGACACGCATAGAAATAACTTCGGGCCATTTTGAGTATGCATCGACAGTGATTAGGTAATACATGCCGTCAATGGGCCCGGCGAAATCAATGTAGATGCGGGACCAAGGGGCTGCTGGGGTTGCCATGCTTGGCGTTCACTCTTAGGTGGTAGGTTAGCTGCCACTGAACAGTTGTGACAAGCTTTCATCTCGTGTTCAATTTTTTAATCCATACAGGGCCAATATGCATAACTCTGAGCAAGTGTCTTTATGCGACTAATACCAGGGTGACCATGGTGGAATTGTTTTAACACCGTTGACTGCAATGTCTGCGGCACAAAGACTCACTCACCGAGCATGAGACATCCTTGTTCAATAGATAAGGCTAACCTTTTGAAGAACTCTTGGTGAGCTCTGTTGGGATGGTTACGGGGTAAACCCGTTCTACAATAACACGTTCTGCAATAGTTTGCCCCTCGCTGTTTTGCGCCGGATCATTTCAGCGATGACTGGTAGACCACGCAGCGAATCTTTGAAAGCAATGAACATCGGAATCAACGGCGATCGATGCAATTACACTATCCTCGTCAGGGCGACGACTGCCATGATCAGCTACCAGTCTGGAGAGGGCATCGGCGTGCCCAAAACTTGTTTTTATGAAGCGCAACTTAAAGTCATAGCCTAACAGTATAGTGGCCCAACGCTGCAAACGATTTGCAGTAGGCACTGGTACCCCTGTCTTCGTGCCAAAGATGGATAATAAATGTTTTTGATCAGTGGGCAGGGTAAATTTTCTGCCATGTAGCATCTTATGAAACTTTTTGAGTGCAAAAATTAGCGACAGTCCTTCTTATTCAATTTGGCTAATTCTTTTTTGCTGCTGTGAGTGATCTAAAAACATGGTATACGGCCTTACGACTGCCACTGGGAACTTCGTGCAGTAAAACCGCTCCAATTCCGTACTCGGAAGTATCAGCGGCTACAATCATGGGTCACTTGGGGTCACAGTGAGTGAGGAGCAAGTCGGACGTGAGAACTCGCTTGATGGCGAAAAATGCGTTTTGACATGCCGATGACCAGTGCCATTCAGTGTTTCTTGTCAGCAGTTGGTTCAAGGGAGCTTTTAGCTGATACATCTGTGGTACAAAATTGTGATAGTAATTAACAAGCCCGAGGAAGGACTGCAGTGCTTCTTTATTGATTGGAGCGGGCATGCAGTCAATCGCTGCGATCTTCACTGGATCCGATCTTCTACCAGTACTGTCAATGATCGACCACAAGTAAGTGATATTGGATAATCCGAATGAACACTTGAGGTAGGACTCGGCACCCGTACTCGAAAATCCTCTGCAAAATCAAATTTAAATGCATGAAACTTTCATCCGTTGTTTTGCTAACGATAATTATGTCATTTATATAAGCCATTGAGAATTCTAGGCCGGCTAACATCGTATCCATTATCTGCTGAAAAATTGCTGGGGCACATGTAACACCAAAAGGTAAGCGATTGTAGCGATAAAGACCCTTGTGAGTGCTTACAGTGAGCAACTCCTTGCAATCGTCCTCTACCTCAACTTGTAGGTAGGCGTCAGAAAAATCAAATTTTAGAAATATTTTACCACCTTTCAAATTGGCAAACAAATCATCTGGCACAGGTAGTCGGTACTGACGTGTCTCAATAGATCGATTCAGTCCTGTTGGAAAATCGGTGCAGATCCTGACTGTGCCATTCGCTTTTCTGACTACTACGATAGGTGCCGCCCATGATGAGTAGTTGACGGGGGAAATTACTCCCAGTCGTTCCAGCCGAGCCAACTTGCGGTCAACAAGCTCCACTGATGCGTAAGGTACAGGTCGTTTGGGATAAAATACAGATCTAATGCCGGGATTTACATGTGAAACTGCTTTTGCCTTACAGCATAAACCAAGGCCAAGGAAAAAACGTCGGGATAGTTTGTTTTAAAACGTGAAATTTCAATACACAAATCTTTAGAGGACACATACAACATAGCTCACATGGTTTGACTGTGAAAGGCATAGAGTCAGAAGAATCATGGATTTAATTAAACGGAAATTGCCACAAATTTAATCCGTCTATCCAATCGATACCAAGGAGGTTCAAGTGATTGAGCTTTGATGTTAGGAGTCCCACACGAAGGACAGTCACGAAAAGAAAATTCGCACAGGAACTCGCCAACAAATGACAGTTGTTCACCTGAAGCTTCGCGAGCAATATGGGTAGTTTGCTGATAAACTGGTCTGCCTAATAAATTCCACGTGGCTTCAGAAATGATAGGCACATCAGATGCTGTGCCCACTTGCAATTTCACGGCAGGTTATTAGTGCAAATAGAAATGTACTTCCAGCGTAACTGGAAATCGAGGGCATCCATGGCGAAAATGACGTTTGAAGAACTGCGACGTCTGATTGGTGCATCGCTGTATTAGTGTGGCTTAGGGCGGTCACGGTGATCCTTTCTTTATGACCAATTCCACCACAAATTCCACATTCATGTGACCTGTACGCACAAAAACGAGCGAAATGCCACAGTCCGCAGTGCATACATGCGGTGCGTGATCTGTTTCGGAAGTTTGGTTGGGGAACTTGTGGTCTTCTAGACGTAGCTCAAGCATTGATCCCGTGAATTGGTTGCATCTATGGTTTCTGGATCTGCGTATCGTCTTGAATTAATCAAGCGTTGACAATCTTCGGTGATTTGTTGTAATGTGATTTCTGGGTCTGTTTCAAGCTTGGCTAGAAGCCGGGTACGAATGTCGCTGTCAGCAGACGCGTAAAGACCACAGACAAAAATAAGAGTTTTGAACTGATCGTTTGAGACTCCGGGGTTTGAAACGTTCACATTCACGGTTAACACGGCCTGCATAGGAGACAAAATCATCGTCTGCATTTTTCGAAATTTGTAAACACTGGTCACGTGTCTTAAACAAGGAGGAACGTCCGCCAAAAATGGTAGTGAGGTGTTTTACTGTCTGTGTTAAATCAAGGTTCTTTGGATGTTTCGGTAGGATGAAATCGCAGTATCTGTCGTGTTCAGCTGGACCCAGTTTACGCAGCAAAAGGCGTACGTGCAAGGCCTCGTCGAGAGTAGCACCATCAACCTAAAGAACATCTGTATATCTACGATACCATAAGTCGAACGTCATACCATCGTCATCCGATAGTGAAATTCACTCATGCTTTGGGACAGCGTTTACACAGTTGATATTTCCGGATTACCCAATTTTGACTGCACAGAAAGCCGCTGGATCAAAATTCCAAACTCTTCTTGTTGTTGCTTAAGTAGCTGCTGCATAAATTCCATTGGAATAGCCATTATCTAACGTCGCCATAAATGTTATGACGGTAAGTCCTCGCTTGATTACTCAGTCAGAGAAAGAAAACAAACCTCTGGACTGGAACAGTGTACTGGTATTTTTTGCAGAGCGGTTTTTAAAGGCCGGGCAATGAGCGTGCAAGTCGATAAAACACATAATTAGATGACGCATGCGAAAGCGACACAAAGCCATGCCAGCCACGTTCGACCTGATAAGCGTGGACGGACATCAGCTGCGACGTAAATCTGACTGGTCGGCGATCTGACTACAATCTGTCCCGGCTTTAACCATTGAGCTTACATTGATAAATCAATCGTGATCATATGTGTATTCTCGTCTTTTCCTTCTCTCTGATCAATGGCTTGTCGTTCTTGCGCTTGTTTGCCATCCCATTTCGCCAAATTCCTTTCAGTTCTATACCCCAACGAAAATAACGTAAATACAAGATCCGGGAATATTTCGGCTCAAGCCACGTACCCGCGAATTGCTACGAGACTTCGAGACGATCTCAGTTTTATTATGGTCCCGGATGATCTACGATTGATGACTTTTCCGAGTGGTTACTCAACTGACCCCTGGAATTCTACTTTGTGAACTATTCCTTGGTCTGTTTTGACTCCACCGAATGTTTTGCCGGAAAGAAGGTTACTGGGCTTTGTGTTAACCACATTATCTGCCCAATAGCTAACTTCAACTCATTCACTAGTTCAGATATTCGAAGTCTACGCGTACCAGTCTCTTCGTACTATAAATTATCTGAGGCGCACGAAATGGGACTGACGGGGCTAACAGGTTTAACCATACCCAGAAAATTAAAACCACTCGAACCGGTCCAGAGACTCACCAAATTGCTTCCTGTCCAGATTTCGTAAGTTGTGCTCCTCTCCTTGGCACATTCCTTGATTTTCTGGTGCTGAAAGCCTGAACAGAGTAGTGCAAATCACTGCTCCGTGTTAGGCTGATTTTTCTAACACGGTACAGCGGCAGCCTTTCACAAATCCCAGAGGTAAATTCAAAGTCATTTAGGAGGAAAGAAATTGAGTACCCCTTTGTGCTGCCTGGGAACGCGTAACCAAATGAACGGGCCCCAAAGCAAAACAAGATAGTCATTCTTTCATTCTTCATTAGATACGAATATTCTACAGCATTCGGTTAGCAGAGTATAAACGTACGAAACACTTACAAACCCTAATTATGTGGCCAAAACGACTTCCAAACGAGGATCGAAGTTCCGGAACACTCACAACAGAAGGCAGCAACCATGAGCAGAGCTCGAGGTCAAATCAAACTGCGTTATGGTCGTCAAAATGCGTAGATATAAACAAGTGCTTCGAAAATGTGCTGAAAGGTGTGCTGTCAAATGCGCTCTCCTTACAGTTTACCAGGGTGCTTTTCATTCCACGCAAGCAACTCAAAAACCCCTTGCACACTACCCACCTGTGGCTCCATTCAAAGGGGTAACTGATGGAGGACCTCGCCCGAACCGTGTGACTCAGCTTGTTCTTTGCTGCAAGATCAGCCTTGTGTCATCAAGTTTGGATCCAATGGCATGTTAGAGCGCCGCATGTTGCGTGGGTGCGTGGGAATATGTGCTCGTCGAAGAATGCTAGGGAGTCAGGATCCCCAAGCCTGGTGACTCGGAGATTTTTTATTAGTTTCTTCCGACCGGTTTACGAGAAATGTGGTTGATTATTCTTCATTTCCTCCATTCAGCTTCGTTGTCCGCCCACGCGGCTTGGGGTCTTGTTCTTATTATCCTTTTTTTCTTCCGTCTCATTTACTGGATTCCTTCTTTCTACCTCTCGCAAATTTTCGCCTTACTTTTCCTTTCTAGATCTGGCTTTCCTTTTCACCATATCTCTTTACTGGTTCGCAACATCATTTTTTGTAGCTTTCATTTACTTCCTTCATCTTTTTGTACTTTTCTTCATAGTTTTCCGTATCATGCAAATTCACGTTTCTCTCCTTCGTTTGTCATTATTAGGCTCTTAAGTTCTGCCGCATATCGCTTCATCGACAGAGGTTTACCGTCCGCCGGTGTCGCGAACAGGTTTGAGGTTATGAGGTAATACATGGGCCCTGAAAGATAGATGAACCACAAGATGACTGTGAACGAACCTAGTGCCCGACTCCAACTCAAGAACGGCCTTTCACGGGGAGGCCTTTGTCCAACAACTCAGCATCCGCGAAATCCGCACCACACACACTTCTCAGTTTATTCCCCAGCCCTGAATCGTTGGAGACACGCAATTGACTGATATAGGCTGGTTAGCTTTATAGCCTGCTGGTTCATATAGGAAGTGTACTAGTCGTCTATCTGGCACGCTAAGTTTATGCCAAAACTATCTAACACGACACCAGCAAACTAAGATAGGTGGAGGAGCTCGTTGAGATTAAAGGACGAAAGGGTATACACATTATAAATTAAAATGAAGCAAAAGGTTTTGGCGCAAACTCACTGTAGTCCGCCTTTCTAATGATCGAAAAGTGAGGGCTAAAGAGCCAGTATCTTATGATCAGTCCAGTCTGACAACCATTCGTCGAACAGATCACGACGGTGTTGAGATGAGTGCCCAGCAACGCCGTGGAAGCTTTCAAAATATTTTATTTCCCACTGGTAATTCTGGTTGATATAATTCCAAGGCTCTTCAAATCAGAAGACTAGACGGCGCCAGAATGAAAGATTTATTGTCGGAAGCGTCCAATAATTCAAGACTTATCGGTGCAAAGAGTCCCTCAAATGTTGCGACGGTGAAATGACAAGTGTCACGGTACAACCCTGTATTCTAATGGAATTGATGACATGTTTTTATTGTAAAACAATGGCCTGTCCTGCACCATCCCGTGCAATTAACAGCCCTTTCTTTGTAATGATGTTCTAAAAAGTGTTTGTTTGTTTGTTTGTTTTACATTAAAAAGTCGGTGCAACAAATGTATTGCACTGGGGGGCAACGAGAATCACGGAAAAAGTCGGAAAAGTACACTCACCTACAGACGTCACCTGATCCAGTTTGTTGTGAACCGTATACAGGTTTCTGCTACCTCCTAGCATTTAGTCTAAAACCCGATGGCCCCGGGTACTCCAAATCCGACGAGCAGAACCACGTTGCCGCTCATAGCTTCAATCGGAATTTCTGCCAGGTGGGACTGATTTGTATGGTCATCACCGTTCGACTTTTTCGGTTTATACACGGGTGACGCGCCAACTACCACAAATCGTTCAATGCTAAAGGACTCGGTGCCGTTCAGCTCCGTGACCTCGAAAATATCGGAAGTCCCATTAGCTCCCCTGGGTCCGCCTAGTGTTTTCGTTGCCACATGACAGTTTCGACAGCCTAACCCTAGACAACTCAGCGTATCTGGCCGAATGTGCGTAGTTGAAGCTACTACAATGAGCTGAACTGACAGGACGTATTGGAATTTCCTGCACCCTGAACTACGCAAACGAAAGCAGCGAGAAGACCAAGGCTGCGGAATAGCATGTTGGTTGTATTACAGAACTGGCTTACACAGATACGTTAAATCACAGAAGATAATCGGTGGACTCGAAGACGACCAGTCACAGGGAGCTTCCGTTGTACCTGCCCACGGCGTTCCTGATTGGTTGAGGCTTATCCACGTGCGCGGCTACGAGACTGTACCTGGCCCTAGCGCGTGTGACAACTGCTGAATCGCTACCGTAGAGTCGGAGCTGTTGTCGTGAAATATGTACTCTACAGCTTCTTAAACCCCAACCCCAATGACCGCTGGCAGCAGCCTGCGGCCTACTTTGTTGTGGTACACCCTGGCTGGCATGCCGCAATCATTGACTATCGGGTTGCGTGGGCTTGGGCCACTCTGTACCCTTGAGCGAAGCGACTGATGATGCCGGCCATCGCAGCCTTTCATTCCAAGAGCGTAGCTTGACCTATGTTCTACCTGCTGAATGCTTTTCACGGCTGCGGAATCTAGTAAAAACCGTAGTGTGGCTGCATTTTTGTGCCATGAAGTTGTGTGATACCACGATCACCCTCAGGCTAGGCCCGTAGTCCGTGTTCAAGGTGCGGGAAGCGACTAGAGAGTCGTCGTGAGGTTGACTCAGGCTCACTATATCAGAGACTAAACAAGTTTGTTGGAAGCTGAACCTGATAGATGCCCTCCAACTCCCAACCTAAAAAGCTGGGACTAAAGCTGCATGATGGTATCCTACTTCCCGGTGGCAGAGCTGCCCGGCCTTGTAGCCTACCCAACGGCTAACCGATGATTCTACCTGGTCTTGGGCGAGTTGCAGAAAGCTTGATGCAGCACCACCGCTGTGAGGGTATGGTTCGACACATCGTCCGATAGAAGGTTTAGTCTCACTGGCAGACAGCGCATCGGCACCGGCCATTGCCGAGCCCACGAAACCACGAGCAACACGGCAGCTGATAGATGCTGTGAATCAACAAACGAGGGACGAATCCTGCCAGCGGCATTCAAGCCTCAAGCTGTGGTCACCCGCAACAGAAGGACTAACGAACCGTGTCCAACGGATGCTTACATGGACCGTTTACCTATATATGCTTTGTCGTTCAAAAATAAAACGGGACCGTTCGCTGGCGGAATGGATCCCTCACCTAGGTTAGTGGGACGGTCCGAAATATGGTATCGGAGGACACCAGAGAACCTCGAATCAGTCTGCAGACGTATATGTCAATAACGTGCACAATATCGCCTCGGACTCCGCTGAATATAGTGCATCGGCGTCAGTTGGCAGGTGAATGGAGGATGCTGAAACCGAAATACCAGGATTCTGCAGTTTGCACGCGATTATTATCAGAAACTGATGGGCACCAATCAGCAAAGCTGAAGCCGGACGTGCGTTGATAAACCTCTATTGTGAAGCGATTGAAAACCTAGAAGACCCAATGAGCGATGCAGATAGTGTAAAGGTGCTGCTTGTATCAACCTGGTTAAACAAACACTTTGATTGACATTGGTGGTGATGGTGCACACTCGGAGTTTGTTATAGCAAGTGCCCTCGTGGAAGGGGATCCTTGCGACTCAGCCACACGAACGAGTAAATTTATCCTTCTATGCTTTTAAACTTGAAACAAGCAAGAAACCTACCAGTTTTAAATAAACTACCAGGAACAACGGGGAAAGACACGCCAGAAACATCCTATCAGCGAGAATTATGAAGCATCCTATGGTTTTTGGGAAATCCGCCGTACGAGGCCCAGCTGGATGTAACAGCCGGTCGTGGAAAATCCCCCTTTTCCCCTCGCGATTCAGTGTTTTTCCTAACATCACTCATTTGCCTACACTATTGACTTGTCTCTACGAACTGGTTGTTTTTATAGACCAATTGTTGTTTGTTTGCGCCTAGAGCGCTATTTTGGCACATCCTTGTTCAGGACCTGCGTGGCGCACGTGCTGTTTGCTCACGCGCTGCTATTCGGTTTCTCGTTGTTGAGTCCTTGTGACCGTATTATTGAGGTTTGTATATTTTGATGTCGTTGTTCATGTAATAATCTAGTATCGTAGAATATCACGGATAATCGTCTTCTGATTTCGGGATCCGTTGCGAATTTGGCTACGCATTGCCGAAACGTTCGTTACAATACTCAGTAGATCAATCTGGAACGAGAAAAAACACACAAAATGCCAAGAAAAAGGATCGAAAATATTGGAATCCGGACAGGAAGTAACACGGCAAGTCTCTGGGGAGGTTTTGGGTACATTTGATTCTTTAGTTAATGTTAGATCGCCTAGTCCTGTCAGTGCTAGTTCATGTGTTAATGAGAGCAATATTGATCGTAAGGATGTTGATTTATATAGGCTGAGAATACTAGACCTAGAACAACAGTTACTTTCGGCTAGACTACAGGCACAGGAAGCAGAGAAGAAGTGTACAGGGAAAGAGCGAGAGCATGAGACCCGCGACTGCGACATTTCCGATAGATCAGGGTGCAATAAGATGGGGAACCCCACGCCGGTCGCCGAATACAAACCACCATCGATCGATCCGCCTAGAGTGGAACTAACGGTTTTCGACGGGCGAGCTGAGCAATACTGCAAGTTTGTCAAGCAGCTCGAAACGTTCGTTGAAAATAAGGCAACCGAACCTGGGCAAAGGCTCCTCTACCTTA